TGCTCAATTGATATTTCCATAATAACAATATTAATAATAAACTATCACTGTGAATTGTGATTATTTATACCTTGAAGTGCAATATGTTCTATCAAGCTTAAATCAGATTTTTTTACAAACTGACAATCGACGAGCTCCACTTGCTTGTATGAAGACTCGTATGCACCTAAAAATTTAATAATTTAAACACAGTTAATTCATTCCTTACAACGGGTAAAATACTTCGAATCAAAGTTTCATCTTACCTTGAAAAATATTTCGATAAACAGCCAAAACATACAGTAAAATTTGCAGTATAAAGCCACTCGTGCCTGCTGAAAGCTTGCTGTATCCAGAATGTAATGTGTTTACAATTTGTCATGGTCCACAGTGCTGTTCACGAGTTTCGACTGGGGTATTCGGAAAGTCAAATCGCAATCTGGAGTATGTTTTAATATTTTTTAACATTTCTGTGACGTCAAAAAAGTCATAAATCTGATCATCTTTCCGTACAAACATCCCAAAATTGACTTCTTGGCAGCATATAATTCGGGAACCGGAAACGGACTGGTGAAGAATAGTGTGCTGCCTTCGGCAGCACAAATTAAATAATTAAATAATTTATTTATTAGAATAAATTATGTCTGGGTTTTTTGTTTTAAAGGATTTAGTGTCACACCGGGAATTCGCGGGCTCAAACTCCTGCTGGCAACCATTTTTCGGGACAAATAGATTAGATGATCTGGAAAGTGTTTACAATCCGTCACATATTTAAACCATCCTTTTATAATACTTGCTCTTTTTGTGTGATTTTTATCAGAAATGTACCCAACAAGGTATTTTTATCGCTATTTGTTGTATTTGAGTAAAATGTAAACAATAACAAAAGCCCGCAATGCATGACCCTGACACTAATCCTTTTAAGAATTGACGTCGTTAGCTTACTAGTATTAGAATATGATCACGCCCACTCAGCCAATCGTATTTCGGCGGTCTATATTCAATAAACTCACTCCGAGTGATTAAATTAATCGATAAAAAAAAAAAAAAATACTTCCCACATATTTAGAGAATTCAAAAGAAATACTTCTTCGTGAATGTGATCATGTTCTATTTAACAATTAGTCGCCGAAGTGGAGGTGATCGATAACAAGCCTGTATTCACTGAGCGAAAGCGAAGTAGATACAGGCTTGTAATCACCGAGCCTGAGGAGGCCAATTGTCTGATTTCAGTCACCTTTTTTAGGAAAAGCAATAGTTACTGTTCAGAGCAGTCTCAGCAGTAACTATTTGCTCAGAAGTATTGCTGAGGGAGCCAATCAGAATACTCAAAGGTCATTTTTCAATACTTAAATTGTACTAAAAGTCAGATAGACAATGATCACGTGTTCAGTGGCATGTTAATCCACTGAACACAAGTGACTATTGTCTATCCGGATAGACAATAGTCACTTGTGTTCAGTGGATTAACATGCCACTGAACACGTGATCATTGTCTATCCGACTTTTAGTACAATTTAAGTATTGAAAAATGACCTTTGAGTATTCTGATCCTATAGTATATGATTATAGTATGGGATCCTATACTATAAAGGGCACTCGAAAAATTTAACGAGCAACAAAATAAGCCATGGCCAGAAATTTAAGACATCAATACTGAGCATGCTCACGAAAGGTCATACAAAATGGCGCTGACATTATATAGGGAATGTATACGGAAAAAACAATTTTGATAAATTTGAGTCAGAATGATATTACTTTTCACACTTGCCTAGTTCGCATCACTATGAAATAGACCTTACACGTAGAATAAACAAAAAATTGTATCGTATTCTCACCTCTAAGTTGTTCCATTTCGTAGGTTAACTTTACGATGAGTGAAGCTAATATAATTCCTATTAAACCAGGCCAATTTCGCAAAAACAAGTAGATTCTCTCGACTGCTATTGATCAGCGACTTCGCCGATGCAATTTGCCTACATCGCTTTGTGATGTACATATATTCATACATATTTCCAGCTATTTTCAAAGCGATCTGATGTATTTATCTTGTTCCATTTTAACGTTAAAATATCTTATATTTATGAGCCCATCAAGTCCATTCAAGAGTGCCATAACAGGCACAAAACAGGCCAATAATACAAAATTTACAACACTTTTTAAACGAAATATAGGCAATGTTTGGTATCAACAAGAAGCTCAGAGACCAGGCCTTCAAATAGTACGGGATTAATAGGGACATCGATGTTCAAAACGGATTGCAATCCATTTTTTCTCACCCGTACTCCCTTTAATCCTACACATGTTGTTGCACGTCGCGCTACATTGCGCGAAAATTTGAATTGCAAAGTATCATAAATGTCGGATATTCTAAAGAAAATAGATTTGAATTCACTGAAGCGAAACATTTCTTTGTCAACTGACCATTGTTTAAACAATTCGAAAAAGGCATCCGTGAACGCCGATGCTATTGCCGTAACTATTGCTATTCCTTACGAGCATTTGAAAAGTTGGTACGATTTAAGAGCGAGCCATGTTTTCTTTTGAATATATTGCGCCATTTTGGTATCAACAAGAAGCTCAGGAACCAGGCGTTTTAATACGGAAGGACAGGAGGGGAAATTTGTGTATCCAGAGGGGAGAATGTGCTGTATTTGACCAAATATATGGCAAAGTATCCCGATCTCCCTACCTACTAAGCGCATTAGATCAAATTACAATGCTATTTTGCGCAATGTAAATACTGAGAAACATAAGATTTTTATCATATCTTTGTTGTAATTTACGCACGAATGAGAGCCATAGTTTGAATAAATGTCTCAGTGAATATGCGAACTATATAACTACGTGTAAAAATACTATTTTAAAACAATATCATTTGAATTAATTGAATAATTTGAGCAATCTTTCTGTCTGGCTTCGCTTTGCCTAAATTAGAGTTTAATTAAATTAGTTAAACCAAGTACCCCTCAAGTAGCCGCTGTACAAGGCAGGCGCATGTCTCGAATTTCTGGCCAT